CTCTATTCTGTAATACAAAGTGGCAACAGTTTGAGGAAATTTGTACACAAACTGAATCATTCAATCACTGATAAAGAAACAGTTTAAAAGACTTTGAATAATTGCCACTTCCTGGATTGATTGGAAGAGTTAATGAGAAATCTGTTCTGGAATATGATTTATATTCTTGGCCTGCTTTGAGTCCTTATTTTTTACAATAATCAGGCAGATTTTTATTGATATAACACATCCTTGGTTCTGTTTTGTATCAAAAATCAGATTTATAGATGCTCGATCGCCTCATTACATGTACAAAAAGCTGTTTTAGATTTTGTGTGGCAAGGTGCACGGATGCCATCATTTTTAGTGTCTGGTGCTCATGTATGAAGTGGACTTTTGTCACTTTCAGGAATAAGTGTAAAATGGCTATTTATGGCTGGTAAGCAATTATATACTAATTTATGTAAAACTTACTTTTTTTACAGAATCTTTTCGATTGGTTTGTTGGATGGTAATTTTAATGATCAGAACTTTGGAAACTCTTGTAACCGCAAGTTGTCACTTCATTTCAGAAGTATCCCCCGATCTCTCAGTTCTAAATGGTGATCAAATTACAAGTGAACAACAATGGCCTTTGTGCAAATGTTGTTTATTGGAGAGAATATTTTCAGAGACATAAGTAAATGTGGCTGAAGTTGATAAGAAAATGCACTCAAACACTTAGTAATGCTCACTTAGAATCCCACTACACGATCAGTCAATAGACGATCCATTGATCTGAGTCACTGTAACTCTTTAGTCTCTCCTTGATGTTTGTCCCATTGAAATTAGTTAATTATTTTTTAGAGTGCAAAGTATGATTGACATTTGTATTTTATTTTATTTTATTTAAAAAGATGTATGTTCTTACATCATTTTAATTTTTAAACATGTTAAATGAGTGATCTACTTGTTCCCCTTCTGTTGTTTTAATTTACAAAAACTTATGTAAATGACAATTTGTTTTTCGATCATATGACTAACCGAATATTGAAAAATTCCATATTTTAATGAAGTGCAAAATGATTGGAACATCTTTGACTTTAAGAGGCACATGTCTAGCAGTTAATATAGGGGAGACAAATGAGGCAAAAATCAATGTATTGATTTGACATTCACAGTCAAAATGTCAGTTTATATAAGCTGTTCAACTTAACTACGAAAGGTGTTTATTAAAAGTCTTGGGGAAGACTGTTTGATAGTATTGATTTAAGGTAATCTCAGGTTTTGAGATAATGGGAAAGTGATTTAAATATAAACATTGCTTTTAATCCAGTCAGCATGCCCGTCTAGGGAAGATACCTTAAGGACTAGGTAACGTAACTACCCAACCATCAATTTCCAATCGGGCCAAACCACCCAGTTTGACAATGATCTCCAATCAGCTGTGATTACCCACCATGTCCTAGAAAGACACTTAACCAAGACTTGCTTGTTGTCAAGGTGTTTGAGGCATTCTGAACCACTCTTGCTTGCTTTGGTTACAATGTATTTAAGATTTTTTTAAGCTTCTGTTAAATTAGCTTCTTTTTTCAAATGAAGTAGTTTAGCTCATCAATGTGTTTGAAGACATTCAAATGCAAAGTTCTATTAAGTTTTGCCATAAACAAATGATGTACAACAGTGATGCACATGAATTGTGCATAAGCACTTTCAGAAGAGACATTTCGAAGTCTTGAAACTATTTTCAGACTTTCAAACATTGCACATCAAGTGTTTTACTAGTGTATATTTTCATGCTCATTGGTCTCCTCTAAGTGCATCCAATTAAACTGCTGTAAAATTGACATCGGATTGTTCGATTGGGATGGATACACGCCATTTTGGAACATTAGCAAAACCAGATAATATGGCAAATCTAAAAGTGATTAAGTAGAAAGTTGATCTTGGTTTGAAGTCTGGCCAAATATACTTCTAAATCAAACTTTTTTTTTCAAAATAAAAAAAAGAAAGAAAAAGTTTCAAATTTTCTTTGTTTGCACATATCAACAATAAAGATGAGTTTATTTGCAGTCAGTCTGTGACTTAATTGTGTAGAAGTTTCAAACCTTCAAGAAAGGTATATATATGTTCTTCTACTTGAATATTCTTAAATTTTCAAACATTTCATAGGTTTAGAATGAAGAAATTTGATGTTAGTCTTAAATCTGTGACTGATTGCAGACCTAATCTGTGAGTCTGCAACCGGGTAACGGAACTTTAAGGAAGATGGCCAGAACCAGGAAGAGAGATTATTGATAGTGGTGGCTTGATGACATCAGTGTTTGGAAACTGTATCATTTGATCAAACCTCCTTAAAGAGGAAGATTTTAAGTGAGCACTAATTAATTTATAGGGAAGTCACAAAAAAGCTTATTCAGAAGTGATTTCACTAGGCTTGAAATAGGAGCCTTGAGGTAAGAGGGGGATTTAGGGTGCTTTGCAGTTTGTTTTTTGAAGGGGGAGGGGTGTAGGACTCTGGACAAAAGATGTAAATAATTTTTATTCTAAATACTGTAATGAAAAAAAAACTTGAGTAAGGATTCTACATATAACACATACATGTAGGTTTTTTTTTTATATTGATTTTTTTGGGGGGATGCTTGTACATTGATCGAGGCAATATTAAATTGAGCTAAGACTACATGGTTATTGAAAGGTAAGGGTATATTTGACATGTTCTTTAGAGATGAAATGTGCGAGAAGTCTGAGAGAGTTTATAAATTAGTCATGTTAGTGATGGGTCAAGTCTGGAGATATCTCTTGTCAGAATTTCACCAATTATGGATTAGAAAACCTTTTTTAGTTAAAGTGTTTGACATTGAGTGTGACAATTGAGTATAGATCCCCACAATTTTAGTATTGTAGTTCTTCAACCCAATGAATAAGCACTTTTTCTTTTGAGAGTGGTCAAGAATATTTCTTTAGGAGGGATTATAACTTGCAAATATTTCCTGCTGGGCCCTATAATGATGTCATATGAAAATCTTTAAATTGAATCAGTTCTCCTAAAGATTAAAAAATATTATTTGGGGGGAGACCAGTATTTTTTGGATGCATCGACGTGCATGCATATTTGTGTGGTGCAGACAGTTTGAACAGCAGCGTATTGTAGCAATAGAACAAGTGATCAGGATTTCTATCATAATTCATAATGGTGATGTGTTATTTTCTGCTAATCTCTGCTGATAATGGTGTCTTCGGTACCTCTTGCCAGACAGCTCCGGTGAAAAACATCAAACGCTATGATAGACCTTGAATAATATCCCAAAACTTGTCAAACCTATTACTTATACTACAAGGAAGTGGGGATTATTGATGCTGAAGATAACGGGGGAGAGTAGTCAATAACATGCCTGCTGGTAACCGGGGAAAGGGAGACATTTAGTTCTTATAGGTGTACATGTAGCTGAGAAGGAGAGAAAGTAAGGGGAAGCATAACTCTGATTTTTAAAATATGATCAAAAGGGGATGCTAGGTTGAAAATTTTGAAGTTTTTATATGTAAAGGTGTACATGTAGCAGGAGAGAGAGAGAGAGACAGAGAGAGAATTCAAGGAAAGAAAGTGAGGGGGAAGCATATATGTCTGATTTTAGAGACTCAAAGAGGATGCTTAAGATTGAAAGTTTTAGAAGTTCCCCTCAAATTTAACAGCTAAGAGATATTTTAGAGAAACGTAGATATTTTGATTAAGAAGAAATGAGGGTAAATGAATAATGTTTTTAAATTTTCCAAAATCTTTGCAAAAAAATAACACCCGATGTTTTCTGACATTTTGACAATAATGATGATAGTCAGGCTGATTGCAATTAAGTTTTGATTGAAAAATTAAGACAACAAATGCACACCTGTGTGCAAAGATTTTGCCAAGGTGTTTTTTTGCATTCCATTGTAGTTTGATTTTTTTGTACTTGGAATATAATATGATGATGTTGGGGATTTTTGTTTAACAGCATGATATCAAATTCTGATGGAGAGTTGATGGTGCGGGGTATTGAAATTTCTGTCACGTTACTTGTTTGTTTAATGTGCCGTGTTCGTGCATTGTTATCGATAGACAGCTATCCTATGTATTGGCATGGCTGTAACTATTTTTCGAGGTTTTGATCTTGAGAAGGGATATCAGAGTAGATCCATGATTATTCAGCCAGGTAAATAAGAGGAATAGAATCAAATTGACAATTCATTTTAAAGCGAAATTGGAGATATGTTTTTTTCCAAAAATTTACATAAATGAATTGAAGAGGAATATCGCGGTTACATTTTATGTTCGGAAAATAGCAATTTTATATGAAAAGATTTCTATCGGGCCAATCTCTTTGTTAGACGAGTTATATGGATATTTCGTAAGATACTAGGTGTATTGACAATGATTATATCTTGAACAAAACCGAAGGTAGATTTGAAGTAACATTTTACACTGAGTGTCGACTTTTTCAGTACTTAAACTGATGGCCTTTATTGTGATCTGATGTGCCATGCTATAATCAAACCGAATCAAATTCACATCAGATAAGACTGCCTATTATCAAGTGTTTATTGCTAATGGCTTAAATGACAAATTTACATGATATTTTCTCAATCTGTTTAATATTCCCTGTTTTGTGAAGTCAAGTGTGCTATTTTCATCTGTGATCGTTTTGATATCGGACCCTAAATATTCCTTATCTAAAGAAATCAAGTAGATATCAAGAAATTTATTTTTTATATTTCTTTTGTCATCTTGCGTGATTACCTGCAGATGAGAAATGTAAAGATTTCTGATATAGTACCAAACTTTTTTTTAATGCAGTGAAACAATATGTCATATTAAAAGCCAATCGTGTGCAGATGCAGCGTCTTAATGTAGCAAATGGCCTGAGAAAGTACATTTTTCATAATGCAAAAATTCACATAAAAAACTACATTAGTGTTTTAATAGGTCTTGATCCTTTGATTTTGTTCTTGAGCTCTGCATTTCTAATACTGTTATTATTAATGGTTTGAACTCTGTCTCTTTGCAGAAGGAACTTGACATCACTGCAACAGAACTGGCAAACAGACAGGACGAGAGCGACTTGTCCAGAAAGAGACTGGTAGAGCAGAGTCGGGAATTCAAGAAAAATACTCCAGAGGTGAGACATGTTCAGGGGAAGAAATCATGGCTTGTAATTATTAGGATTATACTAAGAGGGCTGGGTGGTTGTGGCCATTTTTAGACTAAATTTATTGCCTTTAGAAGAAAAGCTCCACATAAAGATTTTTAAAAAATGATTAAATGTATGAAATTTTCTTTGCCAAATGATAGTTGACAGCTTTTAAGATATCATAAAAAATTGAGTTATATCTGATGGTTAATTTGTTGACCCCCAGCCTTGCTTTAAATGATTGGAGGCTATAAAACCATTAAAATCTGTCCAGACAAAATTAGTAGTTTCCTGTTTTCTGCTTTTTCAATGTTTAGGAGATAGGGAAAAGGATAACAGGTTATGGGTCATTTATTACCCTGTATAAATCCTGTAAAATTGAGAGATAATAGATAATCAATAATCCAGCAATTCTTTACATTCTCTTGTTTCCTGTGACTGTTCCCCTTGCTTTAGACGGGTGTGCTTTCTTTGTAAATAAACCGGTAGCTAAAGTAATTAAACTAACCAGCAAAGATATTTATCCACCTACTCAAACAGGGATATCTTTCTATAAAACTATTGATTGATTTTTAGCCATTTGATAGACTCATCTGTCGTAAAGAAGATCAACAGTAGGTGAGCTATATGATTGGACATTTTAAAATTTAAATTTTTTAAAAAGTTTTATAGTGAATATAAGTAAGGAAATTTATATACGAAACTATTTCCTTTTATGAAATTTATTTTTTGTATTGATTTTTGTGGTAAATTAAGACATTGTATATTTTAATAAAATTTTGTTTTTTTGTAAGTCAACCTTTTCCTAAATCTCAGATATCAGGTAATTAAAAAAGTTAACCCTCTGCAAATTTACATCAAAGTTCCTGTTAAAAAAATGATCTTCAGCAATTATGTCCACATTTATGGTTTGTCCATGAACACCCAAATTGATGAATTTGAAATGTGAGAGGAGAGAAAGGGGAAAGGACATGATGTTGCATGCCACCTGATAATACCGTGACCTCTACCTATAACGCCTTGTGCAATAATTCCACCTAACGCTTTGACATATTGATAGCAGATTTATTTTTGACACCGTATTTTTACAACCAACAGAGCTGGTAATTTGCCTAGAATTGATTGGCCATGTCAAAGGCTTCTTTTGGTTGTTCATCTGTAGGGTAATAGATCCTGATGGAGTATGTCTTAAAAAGTGCACCATGGAATTATTTTCAATCAATTCTAATTTGAAAAATTAAGCATATCAATTTGAAATGAACTTTATTGCAATCGGTGAAATCCCAATGAATTATCTGGAGCATCAATCAAATATTTAAATTGGGGAGTTTGGTAAACAGCTGATTTCGTCTGTTTAATTACATTTCAAAAGTTTTATTTGGATCCTGCAGATGACCTTATTTTTTCAATAAAATTCAATATTTGAATGAAAAAAAAATAATATTACAGTTATAGTTAGATATGGTTAAGAGTTTTATATGTTATCTTAAGGAAAAGACATTGTATCTGCAGAAAGTATGTCTTCTTGAATTTCATTTACAAAGATTAAGGTCACTTATAGATTCTGTATTGAAGTCTTTGCTGTTTTACGTAGTTCATGACATAATTGTACTATTTCTCTATGAAAAAAAATAACTTCAATCGTGATCTGATTTCTTCTAAGAAAAAAGGGATGGAGAAAAATGGCCATAACTTAAAAGTATTGACAAAAATACACACAAATTGTGTAATTGAAAAATTCTTTTGCTCAATAACCACATAGTTTTCAAGAGACTTCAATGATTCATTTCAAATGAATCAAAAACCAAAGAAAAGCCATTTTTTCATCCATCAAACACAGATTTTCGACATAAAAACATTGGCACTACCCATATTGATTAAAACGAAAATTGAAATGGCAGGAAAATAGTTGCATGTATATGAATGGTTAATGACCCTATCAGAAACTAAGACATCTGTTACATATTAGAGTTTGTATTAAGTTGGCGAGGACCAGTCACAAGGCTTTTTCTTTGACTTCGGTTCATTAAGATAATGATATCTGTTATAGAACTTTGTGAAGGGAGGAAGAAAAAGTATCAAATGATTAATTTCTAGCAATAAGGAGATCCATTAAAGATTTAAGGGGGATTAGAAACCGAAAATTGGGAGCTTAAATCATATTTTTTAACCTGTTGTTGCTTGGCACATGGTTTGAGAAAAGAATCGAAATCAGCCTCAATAAGGGTTATCTCCCTTTATCTAAACAAAGATTGTGCAAGCTTTATATTATACTCTTTCATTTGGTATTGTTAGAATATAAAATTGAAATTAATAAAATAATTTTTATAAAATAAGTTTAAATCAGTAGTTATTGAATTGTGCACAAATTAAATCATTGTGTGACTCATGTCGTCTGCTTGCAACTTGTTGATGATGGATTCCAATGGGCAATGGCTGACGTGAGGAACTTTGCGAGAAAAAATTTTGTAAGACAACAATTTGGTGATCTTTGACACCCTCTGCAATCAGGAGGGCTAAACATGATCCTATATGCATGATTTCATAAATAAAACTTCGCAGCTTTGACTGAAATAGAAATATGACAAATACCCATTCTGTAATCTTCATGGGCTCACGAAAAGTTTTATTTTTGTTTTTAATGGTAATAAATAATCGAATTAAAATTGTCAGAGAAGCCCATGGAAAATGCGTTGAGTTTTCAACTGGCTGTCTTGAAATAATTTAGCAAATGACATCTTGACGGGAAGAAATCTCAAACAACAGTCCTATCTTGAAAGATGAATGGCATCACACTCCAAAGTCGTCTAAGCATTATCGCTTGTAATTTACCATTAAACTGAGGAAAAAGATAGGCTTAAAGAATATATACTTATTACACGTAATTGATTAGATTTGGTGTAGCCATTCTGGCTTATTGATGATTCAACCCCTGCCGCAGCTGTTTCTTATTTTCAAAAAACTTTTTTGGGGGAAGCTATAAAATTAGCCTGCAATCATCAAAAAAGTTTATCAATAGGATGGCTAGGATCATGACGGGTGACTTTATTGGTCTGGCAGTCAAGTTTTCATTCCAAGGAAAAGTTCCTCTTTTTGTGTTCTTTTGCTATAAAGGCTAAAGAGATATCCCTCGCAAAATATCTGGGTCCCGATTCTGTAAGCAAATTAAAACATGAAAGTGTCAGCTTTTGCTATCTGCAAGGAAATAAGAGAGGCAATTATCCCTCTAAGTGTTATCATTCCTTATCAAGAGAAAAAGTTGTTAACAAATGAATTGTACATATATGCAGTAATTGCACTTGACTCAAAGTAGTGTTCAGTGAAATCAGTGTTTTATCTGCACCTAAACAGAAGACCAAAAAAAAAGAACTTTCAACACAAGTGGGGATGAATAATAAATGACGAGGACTTACAGTGTGAGTAAATTAAAATAATTAATGATTGTGTCTCCTTGCAGGTGGTATCATTATTGTACATGTGTGTTTTGGGCATCTGCGGTCACCTGTAAGAGTCTGAGTCTGTGACGGATCATATGATGTCTGAAACATAGATATTACCTGTAATTGTCCACAACCAAGACTTATTGTTTTAACCTTTCAGCCCCCTTGTGATTTATTGAGCAGGACAAATATGTGCTGTACTTTCAGATCTGTGTATTCCAGCACAAAGAAATCTTTCACCTCAATTATTAATGACAGGTGCCATGATGCAGAAACTCTCCTTGTGCCAGTTCAGGTGACCGGTCATCCACTTGCCATAAAGTTTTTCGGAGTCATTAATGAAACCGGTGTAAAATTGTTATTTTTCAATCACAAAAATTTAATGTGAAATCTACAGTATAGATACCACCATGGTGACACAACCAAGCACTGGGCTGATATTGATACGAGGGTCAGAATAGATTTGGTGTAATTTGAGTTTTTGACCATTACCAGAACCCCATTCTGTGACACTCCCCCTTATTTACACCGCTCAGCATAACAAATTTTTTTGCTGCAGTGAATTGCCCACCCTTGGCAAACCCCCTTCTGTATTGATCGTGGTGATTGGGCGATGAAAACATCTGATAGGCGTTTGATTGTTCAGAGGACTGATGTACATAATTATTTTATCGTAGCAAGATATCATTGTCTATAACTACACAAGAAAAAATACATCTCTCTGCCCCAATGTTTCGTCAGACTTAATTACCTCTGCCTGTCTGTAGAGTATTGCTGTAGATGAGGGGAAGAAATTGAGAGACCCCAATTTTTCCATACGATACCCCTTCGCTCCAATGTGTCTGAAGGTCTTGAAACACCTCTAGGATGTGCTGGAATTTGGTATCTCTGACTCTTCTACCTGTTATCAGGACAAAAGGCTCGGAGAAACTGCAGACTAAGGGGACCGCATTCCTTTGTTTTATTTTGTGGGTGTCATGTGACACTAAACATTGATATTGAATATTGAATTATGCAGTTTGCGTCTCTCCTAACATTGAATGTATACAAAAGTTTATCTAAGTGGATGGGAGGAATTTAATTCGCTTGGAGGGAAAGGGGATTTGCCTGCAGGTTTCATAATGCTTTATAAGTGGATGTCTCACACTTCTGAGTGTTTTATTTTACAACATCTGACAGAGTAATTATCTTTATTGATCCATTTTCAAGTGTGTTGAATTTAAAAAAGAATTGATTAAATTGAAAATGGGTAAATTCTGACTGCAAAGAAGAAATTAATTTTCTCTTTGGTTTTTCACAACACTCAAGGCTTAGTTTTGTTTCAGTCGCTGATTTTTAATTTTTTTTCCAGGACATAAGAAAACTTGTAGCCCCATTACTGAAGAGTTTCCAGTCAGAAGTGGATTCCTTGTCCAAGAGAAGCAAAGCAGCAGAAGCAGCCTTTTTGTCTATTTATAAGAGAATTATTGACCTACCAGGTAAGCCAGACAGGCTCATTGCCTCTGTGTTAGTCTTCACTAACATTAGGGGGTCTGAAGACCTGGAAAAAATAGTTTTCTCTATATTGGTTTCAGTGCTACAATTTGAGCATTTATCGTTTTCCATTGCAAGCAAGGTTCTGATTCTATACAGGTATATGTTGACATGTTATTTTTATGAATTATCTCCCTTGTTTGGGCATGATTTGTGAGAAGCACAGTTAGGATTAAATTTTACTTATGATAAAATGTTATATATGAATGTTTATTCAGCTATGTTCATTCTTTGATAAGTATCCTCCCTTCTCTGTCAGACCCTGTACCTGTGTTGGAGTATGCTCTACAGATTCAGAAGAAGGCTCATAGGGTCTCAGATCTGGAAATCGAAAACAAGCAGCTGAGAGACACGCTCGAGGAATACAATCACGAGTTCGCAGAGGTGAAAAATCAAGGTAAAGAGATGAAAACATGCCACCATTTTCTTAAATATTACACAATTTTAATTTTTTGAACATGATTATGTTAACATATTTTGTTTTTTACTGACATGTGCCCAGATTTGTTGATTATGTAAAGCTTTTAACCTTTGAACATTTTTCTCGATGCTCGTTATTAGTGATAATTTTTGTGACATTTTTATCGTGTCTCAAGGCTGTAATCAGCTGTTTTAGTATTTTTGTTAAAAACATGTCATATGAGAAAGAATCATTTAATATTTCATGATACATCAATTTGTTTTACTTATATCATATGCTTTTTGAAATTTGTACAATAGGATAGAAAATGTGAGGGAAAAAATTCTAAAATTTCACAATTTTTTCTATATCCATTTACAAACACTACATGAAGTGTACTAGAGAACTGGACTAAGAAGTGGGACATTGGGTTTAAATCACACATTCTGTAATCAATAAGTGGATACAGATTGAACCATATTAATCTGTTGTGTGTAATCTCTGGGTCTAACTTGTTGATACTTTAAGTCAGATGTTGATTTTGTGACATACGAGATATCGAAGACGATAATTCACAGAGATTTTAATCTTTTCCATGAAGTATCAGGGGGGACTTTTAGGGAGGGAGGGGCTCAACAAAATCTCCTCCATCTATCACTCTCATATTCAATACTCTGAATTTTATCTGGCAGAAAAAAAGACTAAAGGGAGCGATCACATAGTACACATTGCTGTACCTGCACTAAATACTAGTAACTGAAAACTATGAAATTTTGTTCTGTAGTAAATGTGATAGCTATGATGTTGTACTGGTTGCCTACAGTAATTTCTAACTTTTGTAGAGGTGACAATCAAGCAACTGAGAGACAGACTGAAAGAGTGTGAAGACAAGATCGAGGCTACAGCAGAGGTAAAAAGGGAGGCAACTCCAGAAGTCTGATCATGTGATTCAGAAATCAGACACATTAAACAGGGAGGGTGTTCCGAGGAGTTTATTTGAAATGGCTAGTTGTCCTCGTGACAAATGTGACTTTTTGATTGATAAATCAGGCGTTTTAAGAGACTTTGGTAATTATCAATTAATCAAATGTTTAATGAACCAGTAATTTAAATTTATGTTGAAAGGAGAGTGGCCAACCATCCATCACTAGCTAATGAGATGAAATCAATCGTGAATGTTTTCTATCAAACTGGGGACTCTCTTGGTGTATATAAGATCAAGTCTATCTTTAAAACTAGACTGGATTTTGTAATTTTAATCATATTATTTTCAATTTATGTGGTATAAAAAAAATTTTCATTCTGTTAAAAAGTTTTTTCTTTGAAACTATTCTCTATATCTTTTTGATCATCCATATTTTATATTTCACTATCACCCTAGGAAATAATTTAATTCTAGATTTCAATTCTTGAAAGTAAAATATACTTTTTATCTAAATTAAACTAAAATTATTCAGGGATGTTGAAATGATGAATGATTTTGTATGTAACATAGTGATTTGGTATGTTATACAGTGTGTGAGCAATTATTTATTGTCAAAAGTTTCACCATTCTTAACTAGATCCCATTTAATGAAAAATTTGTGTAAATTTCTAAGAGGTGTCAGTTATGTATATATTCATAATTAAGCATTCCAATTCCCCTTTTTTTTTTATTTCTTTGCATTATGTATTTATAAAGTTTAATGTTTTTAAGTTCTTTTTCTCGGTAAGCTACCCATTTTTCAAAAATCATTTCCGAAATAAATTTCCTGATTCTCATGATGTAATATTATCATGTAATATACTCAGAGCATAGCGAAGGCAGTATTAATTAAAACTGAAGTAAGTTATAATGTAGATCAGAAGAAAATTTTAGGGGATTATCTAAACAAATCAGGAACTAATAAAATGGATTATTTTTTGGTTATTTCTTTTGATTTTGAAATCAGATTTGGTAGCTAGAAAATGATAAATGGTTGGTTTTTATTTCTGCAACTTAAAATTTGCTACGGTGTCTGAAAATCTGATTTAAATTTAGCATTTCTTTTGTAAAATATCACATAATTAATTGGTTGAAAAAATAGAAAACAATTTTCTTTAAATTCATTAATTAAGAAGAATCTTAAAGTGAAGTATTGAAGACAAATGTGTTAACAGCGATTTAGACAAATTTGGTGACAGGCTTAGGTATGTGAAGATGTTACTCCGATCACAGGAAATGTTTGTCAAGATCGCTCTTGTATTTCAGTAATCAATATTATGCCTTCAACACCCAAGGCTGTACAAAGCATTTTCCTTCTCTTGTAATGATTTTTTTTTAAATAATGTTTATCATGAATGCTGTTTTATTTTCTTGAATTTCTAAATAATTTTTCTTTGAGGTGTGATAACAACCTAATTATATAAAGTTGAAAAAAAATCGAGAAAAAATTGGGGCTTACAGGTATATATTATATATAACTCATTTATTTCCCATATCCCCCCCATTGAATACATACCATTGGGGTAAAGGATTATTAAATTGCAGCATAGATTGTGAAGTAAACAAATAATATATTTCATTAATTTTTCTAAATATTTTTTTTTTATAAATTCTTAATTACTGGTATGTGTGATCAGGATATAATTCTTTTGAAATACTTTTTTTTTTACATCCTGATTCCTCAGTCAAAGTAGTTGACATACTTGTATTTACAGTAAGTCTCTAAGACATAACTAATCATAAAAAAGATAAACCATTAGGATAAATCTTAGCTAAGATAACATGAATTTAAGTCATAATTTTTTGGCAAAAATGAATTACATGTAAAACATAAAAATCAAACCAATATTTTTTTTTTTAATCCATGATAAAATGAGAACTGTAGAATGAAGCAAATATTTTTTTTCCCTTCATGTTCCACACAATAGATATTAAGTCCTCATATAGATAATTAATAAAGAAATATCCCTGTGACATTAATGGTTGAATGGGTGGTCAGCCTTGACCAACAAATGCTTGAGCGACTGTCACATTGATTCTTGGTTTTCGAGGGTCTGATACTTTGCGCTCATTTAACAGTCACGCATGGCTGGCTAATACGATAGTGAACAGGGAATCAATCACACGGCAGTACGTATGTATGTTAATCTATTTCTCTGGCACTCTCAAACTTGTCGGACACCTGCTGACATCTTGGTCCTTTTGATTTCAAACTTCGATCCTTTCAATTTTAGGACTTTTTTTTACCCATCAATAGTGATTTTTGATCGGACTTGATTATTTTTAGAAGAAATTTATGATTGTAATTTTGATCATAAGTTAATTTGGGCTGATTGTGCATATTAGGCCAGAAGCAAAGAAAAAGAACGGGAGCTGCAGCGAGTTTTTACGGAAAAAGAGAGACAGTTACAGGAGACTCAATTGTCCGTGGCCAAGAAGCTCGGGGAAGCTGAGCAGAAAGTTGCTTCATTACAAAGCGGTAGGTACAGAGCGTCAGAATGAAAAGTCACTAGTAGGTGGTGGACAAAACTAACTCCCCCTAACAAGCCTGATTCATAAAATCTGAAGAGCTATTAATTTCTTCCTTTTTTAGGAGTAGTCTTATTTAGTGTTGTTTTTAGAATGTTTATCATATTTTGTTGTTTTCATTTGGAAAGAAGTAGAAAATATATTTTAAGCTCTGTTCAGTTAATCATGTTATGTAAGAGTTTTAATTATATATTGAAGAAATTTCTTTTCTCATTATCAATTTTTTTGATGTTTTTTTTTTATTTTCAATTTAAATGGATATTTTCAATAAATATCAAATTTATCATTAGAAACATAATCTATAAGTTGTAACTCTATGCGATTTAGTCTTTCGAGTAGGATCATATATATTTTGAAAATGACAAAAAAGATTCATTTCTAAATTTAAAAAACTAACCTAAAAATCATATATAAAAATAATATTCTTGTTAATTTATCAAATTTTCTAGTACTGTAACAAAGTAAGTTTTTAATTTTTTTGAATGTATTTTTTCTGTCAATTTATTTTCATGTATGAACTAAAATAAATTTTAAGGACCAAAGCAGCAGTTGATTCTGATTTAGGGATGTGAGAATGGTCATTAAAAAGAAAAATTTTTTACATTTGTTATACTTAGACATTTTTCTTAAAATAAAACACATAAAAAATATAGAATGTTTTAAGAAAATAATTTGATATCTGCCAAGTTTAGCTCTTCATTTCTGTGTATAAAAAGGAAGATAAATAAAAGTAAATTTAAATCAATTTACTTGCCTCTAGATCAGTCACAAGGAAGGGAAAAAACATTAAATTCTCCAGATTTTGTTCACTTATTCCAATCTACATGTACACATAAAAAATATCACTCGGTAAAATACTGTTAGTTAAATTTTAAATCAACAAAGAAAATTTTCTAAATATTCATCATCAACAAAAATATCACAGACACAAGCATGCACGTACAGAAAACTCAACATTACCACCAATTTCTCTTTTTAATTTCACTGTACACAAGAGTTCTATTTAAAAAAAAATAGAAATCTGCCCAGCCGACGACAGTGGTTTTCTGGTCTGTTACGTTTAGTATGACCCAAATGTAGTTATGTTGTGTACAACAAAAAAAGTCACAAACATCAGACGCTGTGTAAATTATGATGAGGAATTGCTTATGAAACCAAACTACACCATTTATAACACTAAATAAGCTGCACACTACTAGGGTACTAAAAGATAATGAGTAGGCAACATTAAGAAAGAAGACGTCTATTCATTCTAAAATTTAAATTCAGTAGAATCCATAACAATTCTTAAAAATTCAATTTATTGAAGGAAGAAATAAAATCTTTGTATGAAATTTCTTCCTTGTTTTAAACATAAAAAATATTCATTTTATTCTGAACTTGTTTCGTATTGATGTTGAACATGTAGCAGAAAATTTCAAATTGTTGAACGAAGTATATAGCTTTGAGGGATATTTGTATAAAATTTTGCCTAGTCTTTGTATTTTACCATGACAAATTAATTTTTTTTTCACTCTTGATAAAACATAATTTACAGTACCGGTACTAATTCTGCTCAGTTTCAGTTGTTAGATTCTCAAAATCAATCAGTAAAGTATAATATTCTGTAATAAGAAAAAAAGAAAACAAACAGAAAAAAGAGGGTTTTAAATTTTTACTGAAAATGAAATATCAATTTTTTTTTATTATAACCGGGGTATTTTTTAAATTTTATATAGCAATGTTATTATAAATTGGTCACAACTACAGTTAGGATTTTTAAAAGTGTAAATGTGTCAATCATATACTCTTAGAAATTAATTATCAAAAAATAATATTATAAAATCTTAAAGATATTTAAAATAGAATTTATTTTATAAAATTATATGATTTAAATTAAGAATAGGAAAATCTGAGAAAAAATTATATGAACTCAGATTTCTTTGTACAAGTCTCAAAGACTTGATGATCTTTTAGTCACTTTAAAAAATATATTTTCCTGCATTAATTAAAAAAAAATTAAATCATTTAAAAAACAAGAATAAAAAAGTTCTATTAAAGGCTCACATGTTTTGTATGTCTGACATGGTCAGAATATAGATATCAATGGGATCATATATTTGTTTATGCTTATGTCGAATCAATGTCATTTTCTGTGAATCTGACACATGCTGCTCTATCCTGGCAAGTGTCAACCGATCTGATTTACATAGAAAGCATATTAATTGTGGTCGCAATTATCATAAATTAATATCACTTTTGTCTAATTTATTCAAAATGAACATATGATTTAAAATTTTGATTTGATTTTGTATCATAAAGTCAATCAAATTTGTAAATATTTATTATGAAAATTGAAAGATTTTTGATAAGTTGAGGTTTCTTGCTGATTTATTTTTTGCAATAAAATAAAATGCGTCGTCCGATGGAAGAATTGAACAAACATTCGAACGTCTTTGAGTAGTAAAAGATACTTCTGTGAGGTTACCGATTTTTGTTCGTGGTTACCAATGTGGTAAATATGTATGTATTGGAATTTACCACATACCAAGAAAAAATTAAAAATAAGGGATAGTTGTGAAACACTCCATTTTGTATCAGCTAGGTTGAAACAAACAATATAATAACATGTTACGGCTGTGTGATAATTTATGTTGCAAACTCCGGCTTGGAATTTCTTAATGATGGTGAATTAATAGCAAAGAGGACACAAGAAATTGATTGGCTGTCAGGCATAAATCGTGGCCCACTGTCAACAATTACCGAAATTGACAGAAGGATGACCCACCATTGTTCTAAGTTATTTGTGGATGGGCCGATATGGACTTATATCATTAAGATGGAGAGAAGTTGATATTGACAGAAACGATGAAATTTGACATGCTGGGTCAAGGAGTGAATTCAAATGCAGAATAGTGTATATTTCATAAACAAGGTCAATTATATTTAGACGCTGCTGATTTTTAATTGGACGCTCAAAGAAATTAATGCCAATCAGTAATTTTTTGTAATTTCAAATTGGTATTCCATTTTGATCAGCATGCTATCATTTTAGTGCAATCCACGGAATGAGCACCTGTGATTTATTTTGAGTTGCTCTGTGTTCGTTAACAGGATTTTGGTCTTCTTAAATTACATAATCTTGATTCATTTATGATAGGAATTATCAGAATTAAGCGTTAGTCAAATTCGATATGGGAGATACAAGTACCAGGTAGGGGCCTGTCATTGTATGCCAACAAAATATGTGCTGCATATGCAGGCATGATTGAATTTTAATTTCTATGAAATGCATTTTTTCTTATTTCTGTCTCCGTTTTCTTTTACAGCACTAGAGAATGTGCAGTCCGAGTTGTTCGAAGTCAAAGCCAAGTATGAAGAGGCCACAACAGCCAAGTGAGTGTTTATAGCCATTCTGAAACTGTTACTGAGAGTTACTCTGAACCACAATCACTGTAGCTTATCTGTAAAAACTTTCAAGTTCTCTTTAATTCTGCTAAGAACTTTGACTGTAGTATGACCAAAATAAACTGTGGCAACAGAGAATTTCACTGAGGTGTTAACCACAAACAACAAGTGCTAGGGCATTAATTGCTTTTGTTTTGCATGGAAATGAACTGTTCAAGATCTTTTGGTAGTGTAGATTCTGAAAGTCATTAAGAGCTGAAAGCATAAATTCAAAGATTCAAATAGATCTTAACTGCGTCTTAAAAATTTGACTATTTCTCTGAGATATTATATTCAGAAATTGTATTTCCAAAAGTGCCCTTTTCTTTTGTTACTGTATTTGGCATACAGCTGAGAGTGTATCTAACTCCCTAGTCATTTAAATCTAAATGGATTTTTAAAATAAAAATGATTTTTCTAAAATACTAAATTTTTTTGAGAAAAAATATTTTATTCATAAAAAAATGTAAAAATCAATTTGTGTTTTAATTCAAATCAAAGTGAAACCCTCTGATTTCCCAACACAAACAGTCATATTTATGGAATCAATTAACAAAGATATACTGTAAATATGACAACTTTGTGTCCCATTAATATACCAGGATATTGGTTTCTTATGTTTTTCTTGTCAATAACAAATAGTGCCTTTATTGATTTCTATTGTCTGATCTGTCCTCTCATTGATTTTTAGTTGTCGACTGGTCACATACATGGTCATTACGTGAACCGTTGGCCGTCATATGTCCAGTTATTGATTTATATTGTCTGGTTATTGATGAAAGCTCTGATAGGTCCTTCACGGGACCTGTCAATGTTTGCTTAATTGGTTCTGATGTACAAGACAATCGCTGTTGTACTTCTCCCATGTTCGTCATTATGTTCAAAGTCCTGCAGGCATCCCAGGACAAATGCACATCCTGTCAAGGCATTTGTAGCGCCTTGTGATTGTTTTTCTTTCGTTTGATTTTTATGTGTGATTTTGTGATTTTGTTGATGTTTTAAGTGACCCCCGATAATCCCTAACTGTAGTTTTATATGTTTTTCATGTTTTCTTGACTGATTAGGTTAAAAAGGTGTTTGCCGTTATTGAGTCAGTGATTCTTAAATTTCATTGGTTGATTTGTGGCAAAGTTTAAATATTTATATACATACAATTTGAATCCTTTTTGGAGTTATACTTAATATTCTTAAAATTAAATTTAAAGTGACATTAGAATAAATAGAATATAATGCCCTTTTCTTAGAAATTTATCTTTCTGCGCATGTCGTCAAAAATTAAAAGTAGGATTACATTTTTTCACACATAAATTGGAGCCTGGTTATTGTTTGCTCTTAGAATACTACCAGGGTAATTACTGTTCAGATTGTTGTGTCTTAGAAATGAGGAGGCAGCTTTGTAGATTAAACCATTAATTTTCGTTGTCCTCTCTCAAAATTTGTCTTCAAAATTGACTTTCTATGCAAATGACGTTGTGTCTTAAATTCTCTCAACTCTTAATGGTGGATAATAGATGTTTTATACAAACAATGACAGCCAAATTACAGTCCTTTTCTCTGTTTTAACAATTACAAATAATGTATATTTCAACTCAAGTGAAAATTTGCACAAAACATCACAGAAAAGTATTCTTCAAGACGCAAATAAAAGACAGATATGGTCGCTGTGAAATCAGCATTTTCAGTGATAGAGAAATTCTGGCCCTTGGGGCAGTTTGCAAACACTTTTCAGCTAATGTGTGCCTTTGATCATTGGCTCATCTACTTATGTTTTTCGGAATAAAAATGATTATCTCTTTCTTTTTGAGTTAAAATTAATGAATACGTTTAGCTCTTTAATGGCAGCCAGAGGCTGTTCCTTCTAATTGGTAATTTGTCAAACATCAGTTATACAGCTCAATATGGCATAGGCCTGCATAGCAAATTCTGTGTAAAATCATTTGTATATTTCATTGTATTGATTATAGAATTTATGAACATGTAATACATGCTGGCAGAATCAATATTTTCATGTTGAATGCCGTGTAGGCTCATTGAGTCTGGATTGTAAACCAGACACAGTGGTTCTTGCACCGAGGTCATTTTTGTCACTTTTCCGTGTCTCAGGAGAGATTGAGAGTTCAACAAAGGCTAACTATGAGGACGAGAAAAACAAAATCTAAAGGTATATATATATAGCTAACAGACATTTAGTCTTTTGATGTCATGTTTTTCTACAGCGAAGATTTTTTTTTCGAAAAAAGAATCAAATTTCATTTCACAGTTTTTTTCAAACTGTGTCAGAATTGGTATTGTGTTCTACTAATCTAAAATAAATTAGTCTATTGAGGAAGATTGATTTGCAACATTGTTACAAAGTAGGTTCTACGAAGATCCTCCCAAATTCTGTAGCCATTGTCTGCATTCCCACAATTTAGGTGGAAATGACAAAACTGCAGTAGCCATAAGAGTTCTTTACAAGCAGAATTAAAGTCCCTGTGAGAAAAATCAATAATTGATAGCCCAGGATCATTATATCCCTGATGTAAAAAAAATGTTACCAGCTCTGTAGAGACATCTGACAGAGGCAGAAAAATGGAATATTGCAGATATAACAGCTAGATTATCTAGAATAGATTTTTTTCCTTAATATGATTTAGCTTTTGTAGTATTTAATGTGGTCTTATTTATAATTTTTTTATAAAAAGAGTCAGGGTGCTTCTAAGTAAATTAAAAAAAAAAATCCCTTTAAATATTAGAAAAGTGGGCAGTGGGTGGGGTTTTGTAGTGGAGTTTTAAACATGGGAATATGCTCTGTAAAATATATAATATTAATATTACTTATGGAGAACTGAAAAAAAAAAGCTTAATTACTGCATTGTTTATTAAAGATTAGGTCATAGTGAGTGTGTAAAAATAACTGGTCATTTGTTAATAGAAGAAATCATTCTTTTATTTGAAATCTTTTCAGCCTTTCAGTTGATCAGTTATCTGATGTCTATAAAAAACTGTTGGTTCTCAATAGCTGATTCAGGCACTTTCAATTGGAATCTATTTTATTGATAGAGCTATTTGCATTTCAAGTTTATATACATTTACTGAAAAAAGAATTTTTGAACGAAAATCAATATTTGCTTTTAGGATTGAAAAATCTGTTTGATTTTAAATATCAATTTTCCTTCAAAATCGAACAAAGCAATAGACCGTCGGCCAACTTATTATTACTGTTTATGAGATTAATGGAAAAACATTTTATCAGTAAACATTGATTGCCAGTCCTTCTTTAAGAAAGTGTCTTTGTGAGTCTGAATTGTTTGTGCTATTTAGGCCATTAGTTTTAATTTTATCACCTATTCTATCCCCAACACATTGATTTCTGATGCATCTAATGTATTTGAATGGGGATTTGGAAAATCAATGAAAAACTATTAAATTATTTTTTTGATTTTATGTACTTAATCTTGAAACAAATAACTCTTATGGATCAGATATCAGATACACTTTGAACAAAATATAATAAATGTACATCTAAAAAAACTTATGAAAAAAGACATTATTCCAATATTGGCAGGTCAATATTTTTCTTCTATATTTCTATGTAAGAGATTGTGAAACAATATGTACAGTATAACTTGCACAGTAATCATGTGTGTGTAATAATTATTATTGTCTTAAATTGATAAATAAGTTTCAAGTTCACAAGTCGAACAATAAAATATAACTTGTCTAATCCAGGTCCTGTGTAAATAGAAATCTTGCTTATTTTGATTAAAATTTAAGTCCCTTTCAGTATTTTATAAATTTAACTTGATATTGAAATGAAAAGAAAGATGCGGCTATCATTGTGTAATAAGGGTACCCAGAGGATAACATTTTGCCAGAGGCCGCTGGTGCATAATTATATCAAAATAATATCTGCATGAATCTGTAATAGAACTTAATGGAAGTCAATAGACATTCAAGAATTTCAATTCATTTGATTTGCCTCTGGTGTGGATTAAGAGTATTGTTGCAGATAATGAGTTTATTAATTATTTTTACTTGAATCTATCTGCTGGCCTTCTTATTTATTTGAAATTTACTTGAATGTATCTGCTGGCGTTGTTATTTATTTGAAGTTCACAAGTCGAACAATTTAATATATTTCATATTGACAGTGTAAAGTCTGAGAGAAATTTGGTTTCCTCTTGGCCTGGAAAAGCCGAACATAAAAATCCTATTACAAACCTGTTTATGATGAACTTTGCAGGTGCAAATGATACAATGGTCATTTTTAAGGATATAGAAAATACCAAATGCAAATTTATTGGAGGTTTTTGTATTTATCAAATTTGATGACGAATATTTGTCACAAAGTGAATACGTTTTTTAGGTTAATTTGGAACCATTCTAAAATTTACGATTCCACTGACTTATAAATTCATACATTTATGTAATGGATTTATGTATATGAATGTAGCATGTGAAATGTTAAATTTGACATGTTTTAAATTTGAATTGAGATGATGACCTCAGTTGAATATTACGGACTTCAGTTATTAATAACTTATAATTATCTTACACGAAGGCTGATCAGAATGATTCATAATTGTTGTATTTAATCATGTTTTGAGTTTTTGATGGCCTTTTGTCATTGCATTTCCTTTATTGTTTTCTTGGTCATTGAACCAGCGTGGTCCACGCAGCACTGACACGGGAGCTCCAAATCACACCTGTAATTTATAGACGCTGGCAGCACTTTATCTTGACTTTGAATGCTTTGGTATATTTCACCAAACTTATGGCCAAAAGCTAAGGTGTAGGGTAGTCAAAGTCTTCATTTATCAAACCCCTTCATATAGACAGGTGACATTCTTTTATTGTGTGCAGTCATTCCAATCCCAATCCGTTTGTCAAACCTTGCTCATCTTGTCTGTAACCCTTCACCATGTTAAATCTTTATCATAGAGTCCACTTTTTACTATCAGCATGCTTGTCAAGAAATTTTTTTTCAAAGTGCATTTTAGAAGTGCAGGTTTAGGAAAAATATTTGAAATAAAATGAGAAAGGTCAGAATTTCAATTAGTGCAGATTAACAAACAAATTAAGAAAACTGAGTTTTACAAATTGTGAATACAATACATGACATGGAGTTTCCTTTTAAGTTGTAATTTGTTAATTGAATTAACAAAATTAATGCTAAGAAAAATTAATTACTTCATGTTTTTGAATGTAAATATGTGCGAAGGGTGTTTCATCACATTTTTGGAAAATGGAATCAAAACATTTAAAAAAAATATTATATTAAATATTATATGTATTAGTGATTGAGAAATACAAAGTCGACAAGAGCCATATATTTCTTTTTTTCTTTCAGATCGGATGAAATGGAAATGGTGATGTCCGATTTGGAACGAGCTAACGAGGTATTATTATTATTATCTATAAACATGATAAAATCAAATAGCATTATACTTAACCAAAAGTTTCTGCTCTGGAATGCTAGAGAAATATCTTCTCTAAATACATAAATGACATGGTTTACAAAAAAAATAGGATTGTGTCAATTGGAAAAAAAAGAGAAGACAGTAAAAAAATCAGTACAATCTAATTTCATGATCAGTATTAAAGCTTTTGTAAGGATATAGGTCTCTTTGTATTGATTGTCTTTGTTCAAGATGCAGTGAAACATAATCTCTTAAAACTGATGTCTAAAAATGACGAAGGATGCTTCTGGAAGTCACATGCTATTGTCCCTTTAAGGGTGTTCCCAGAATGACAGAATCGGGTCCATTATGTAACAGGGGGCCACTCTGGTGCCTTACTGCCTCTGATGGTATCGATTGATTTTGCAAGAATGCATCACCCTGAGTATTTAATCAATGTCAAATTATTGATTTGGGGGAAGAAAGAAGTATTGAACAGCCCGATATTGATCCGATCTTGACTGAATCACCATTTGTATAAATCCAGTCTCTGCCTTCACATGTCAATTGTATTGTTGCAATAATTTGTCTTTTTGATTTCTGATCGGCGACAGGATTAAGCATATATTTTGCTTGCGCTCTTTGTACCTTTAATAGTTATGCTTGCTTATCTGATGGGGATGAGACAGAAACAATTTATGTGTAATTATCTCTCTAGTATGGACAATTGGGATAAAAAGATATCGCTTGATTTGCTGCAGGAAGGTAACTTAACATTTGCTTTATGAGCTTTTAATTGAAGATGGATTTTCAGGGGATCTCGTTTAGCTGCCTCATGATCAGGATTTTTTTTCGGACTAAGACCTTGATGTCACAACATTTTTGAAGCATTTATTTTTAAGAATTTTTAATTTTATTTTTTTTTTCAGCGAGCTGAGGCATCAGAACGTGAAATAGAGCAGATCAGGACGAGGTTGACAGAGGTGACACAGAAACAAAAACAAGGGGAGACAAATCAAGAAGCACCAGATATGGATCGGGCCATCGACATGTTCAAGAGATCGGGTCTGGAACACGAACTTGCATCCAAGGAAAAGGAGGTAATTTAAAAAAGCGCTTTTATTTTTATTTTATTTAATGCCTGAAAAAATAGCTTAAAGCTTGAAAATTTTCACAAAAATTAAAATTTTTAATCTAGATTTCACAGTTGGTTGAAGATGTGCAGAGATTGCAGGGCTCACTAAACAAGCTACGAGAAGCTACAACCAGTCAGGTTAGTATCAACCAGTCTATAAAACTACAAAAACGCCACATTATCAGGCCACCATGGTGATGATCCTGTTGAAAAAAGAATACTTCGTATTCTACAAGTCAAAAGGGAACAGACAGAGTTGGTGAGAAGAAATGACATCAGACAGTTTCTTTGTTGGGGGTCAAGTTTTGGTTCATATGAATGCATTCCAATGTTAAAAGGGCAAATTGATGGTCCAATGGTAAGAGGGTAATTTTAAGTCGGTAAGGATGCAGACCAATAGAGAATTGCAGTCTAATGTTGATGCGTGTAAGTTAGGTACATTTGGTAATTAAAAAGTGTTTCAAGAGTTAAAAAGTCAGAGGTTAACGAATCTGCATGTGTGATAAGTTGTTTCTTTTGCAAGTGTAAGCTTCTGATTTAAAAAAAAGGCATATGCAAGAAAGCGGAATATTTTGACCATTCAGATAATAGAAATGAACTTAAATATTTCTTCTAATTGTTTTAGGAGAAAATTACAAATAATTTTCCTAAAACCTTAATTATTACGCAGAGAGAACATTTTCTTGTCAAGCAGAAAAACGGGGGCCATAAATCAAGTTTATTGTTTCATATATTATGCCAAAATACACAATTTTTTTTTTCGACCACGGTCTGATTTATTTTTCGGAATGGTAGTTTATCAAATATGTAATTTGGGAATATGTAAATGAAAGTGGTAGGCTTGTCATTTTTAACAACTAACATGTTTAATTGAATTCTCATATTCTGGTTAAGTTAAAACTAAACATGCTTTTCATAAAGAAGGTGACTTTTCCAAGGTTGAATTTTTTTCCACGCAAAAATTAGATAACAAAAGATTTTTTTTTCTTATAGAAACACTGTGCTGTTTAATAATGTTATGATTAAAATATGCAATACAAAAAATTAACTATTTAACAATTTTGCTTTGTCTAATTTGAACAATTTTATCAAGAGTTGGTGATCCTTTAATTATTTTTTTTTTAATTTGCATAATCACTGGATTGGAAAAAAAAAATTAATTTAAAATAAAAATTGATCAATTTTTAAACTTCAAATTAATTGACTTTCATAATTAACAAATGGCTTTTTTTTTAGACTCAAGGTAGATTCAGTTATATTCTGAGATGAATAGCGGTGTGTCTTCTTGGAAATCCGTAAAATAAATGATTAATATTAGAAAATGTACGGGCGTATAAAATCTTGTGACAGTAAAAAAAGATAGCTAGGTTTCCTGGGGAGTGTCATGATGGCAGATATTCTACAATATTCAGTTTCTAGTATTGATTTTTTACAAAAGTATACAATGGTAGTTGATGTGAAATCAATGTTGGAAGGCTATTGATTTTTGGTTTTATACATCCCAATGCAAGATGATCTATATTTGACGGCAAAATAGATTTCAGAACTCCTGCATATTAGACAAGATCCCCGAGTTACCATAGAAACAGTATTTTTATTGATTATGTATTGACAGTTACAAACAACTAATCGTGCATGCGATTGTTTCTCCGATCAATATTTTGTGTTTCAATTCCTCTAGAGAAAATTGAAGAGAAGGGGCTTTAAAGATTAGACTATGTTAAGCTTATGTGCACGTTATTTAGACATTTTAGATTATCTGAGTAAGAGAAATTAATTTAAACACTTTACAGAATTTATCAAATTAAAATTGTTCGTGGAATAACGTGGAATAATGTGGTGCAAAGAAGTCATAGTCTAGATATGATCATATAGATTAAAGGAAAAGGATTTTCTAGTAAAATACTAAGATGACAATGGGTATTGGATTACATTTAAATATACAATGTAATTATAGGACTCATTAACTTTGATTACATTATTAGGAAAAATATCAGATGAATTTGATAGCTAATCCATAACAAATAGCTGTGCCTTACCATGCTACAGTATATGATATAGGAATTTTAACATGATCTAAGAATTCACAAACTTGATATGTAAAATGATAATAGTTTATATATAGTGAAATACATAGACTAAATAGTATTTAAGCTAGATCAACTAAAAAGTTGATTATTTTTGTTCTTGACTGGCATGTTTATCAACTATATTATCTGAAAGGACTTTGAGTGCATTTTTAGCATCATTGATTTAAGATTACTTACCGCATAGAACTCATTTTAAAGTGAGAACAGAAAAAATCAATATATAGATTGACAAGTTATTTAAAATCAATGTATCAATATTCAGGACTGTAGAATTGATTATTTCGAATGTTTTAAGCACACAAATGGATTGAAGCAAATGAATTTTTATTTGTTTTGTGTTTGCATTCTGAACTGATCAGGTTTTGATGAAATGCATTAGTGATCATTTGAAATATTGATTGATCACTACTGCCAATGTGTAATGTTCCACTGTTGTAACATCTGGCCAGGCTTGATCTATGAGCCAGACATAATCTGATGAAAATCATTATCTGATATTACTCCACTGAAACTTAACAAATATCAATTTAAACTTATAAAATTAAAAGGTATGAAGAATGAGTCATGTAAGATAATTGTCAATTTTTTAAAAATCAATATTTAATTGAAGTTGTGAAATTTAATCTTTGAATTCAATTTATATTGAAAATTTAAATTTCTGGTTTTAGGTTTCCAAGCTTGAGGATGAACTGGCTTCCAAAAATCAGGCCTTCAAATTGCTGGAAGAGAAGATTAAATCTCAAGAAGACTATGAAGAAATCAAAAGGGAACTTAGGTAATTAGGTCAAATATAAGTAATTAGATGAAGGGAAAGTTCATATAACAACAAAGACAAAAATTGACACTCTTCAACAAGAAAAAAAATAGTTGGCGCTACTGTGATTTACTTTTTGGAGCTAGATACAAGACAGAGCCATATTTCAGGCAGTTAATGGGGATACTTATAGATCAATGCTTAATAAATTGTTGTAAACAGAAAATCAGCGCTGTTTGGGATAAGCCTTTAATCAGGAAAAACTGTTTTCATTTGTCAAGAAAATGTTAAGATTAAAGGATGAAAAAGACACATAGTCATTTATGGTTCATCATAATGTCAGTTATTGAATGATTTAAAAACCTGAAAGCTCTCAATACACCTGCCTCTTGTTTCTGTGATGAAATATTGTCCTTTTTTCAGTGTGATGAAGTCGATAGAATTTTCCAACAACAAGCTGGGGTCTGACGAGCCTGATGGAGACATTCAGCCAAAGTCTCTGGAAGTCTTACTCCTGGAGAAAAACAAGACACTTCAGTCAGAAAACACAGTACTTAAAGTCAACAACAGCGATCTCTCAGGTAGGTCTCGCATGTGTTTGAAAGTAATGTAGATATAGCTGGCCATCATTTCACACCCTGATTCATGAAAGTGGAGTTAAGGGAGATAACAAGTAATACACAAAGACTTGTTACCTCCCTTGTTCAGAAAATCTTGCAGTTTCATTTGTATATTCAAACAAAATTTCAAAATCTTCCAATTCTCAGAATGGAATACATTTATGAAAGACTTCTGTTCATCATTTTTCCAATAGCTAGAATTTTTTTTACTGACGGTTTGGTTTTTCTGTACTAACTGCAGCTGAGAAATATCATTTCATTCTTCAAGACTGCAACACATTCTGAAATATTATTTCTTTACTTTGATATATATGGAAGAAAGGTGTACTGGCCATGAAATGCAAATTTAATTCAAAACCCATCCCAAAATATTCCAAAATGTTTCTTCTTAAAATTTGTTTTTATGGCATGCAAGGCAAAAAAAAAAAGGAAAGAAAAAAAATTAATCAAAAATGCATGTCAAAAAACTTGCTATTTGCTGCTATTTTTATTGAAAGACCATGATTTAACCAGCCAGCTTTTTTTTTAATCCAAAAAAAAACTAAGCTTTCATGTGCATTATTGCACCTTTCTTTCAGGAACGACAACACCTGCCCTCTCAGAAAATGCCGCTGCATTTGCCTCCATGCTAGGAGAAGAAATAGCTTCATCCTATCAACGCCAAAATTCATCCAGAATCTCCACTCCCTCCTCACCTCCAACGCCATCTAGCAATGGCATAAAAGAAGAATCAGTTCCTGAAAAAATAACTCCCAAGAGACCCATTTCACTAGAAAGAATGCCCAGTGTGTCAGGGGAGAGCACCCCCAGTCTCCCGCCCCCACCCTCACCCCAGTTTTTCCCATACTTAAATGGACATGGACTCCCAAATTATATGAGTATGTCTATGGGGAAAACTGACCCCAGTAATTCACAAGGAATAGACACTTCTTTAGTGGCTAAAACTGTGCGAGAACTTCTCAGTATTCATAATATTGGACAACGTTTGTTTGCCAAGCATGTGCTTGGGCTATCGCAAGGCACTGTGAGTGAACTTCTGTCGAAGCCCAAATCTTGGGACAAGCTAACGGAAAAAGGACGCGAATCCTACAGGAAGATGTATGCCTGGGCCACAGATGAAAGGAATATAATGGCGCTGAAGGCTATCTCACCAAAGAAAGGTATGTACAATTAGTCTGTGAAGTACATGTATGCATGACCCAAAACTAATAAAAATCATATATTGTAAAGAACGTAACTTTATATTTAATCGAGTTGCATTTTTTAAAGAAATTGCATGATTATAAAAAATATTATTCAAAAGCTTGTTTGAAAATTTGTGATTTTTTTCCTCATCAAAGCATGTATGATCCAAATTGAATTAAGTTAAGGGGAGGACTTGCTGACAATGTATGTGGAATATATTGCCTGGGTTAATATCATTCATTGGTGAAAGTTAATCAACAGCATCTTCATACATTTTATGTACAAGTATCTGGATGTATCATTCAACTATTATTTGCCTGCATTTTTTTTTTCAAAAATTATTTTCAATTTTTTCAAATTATTTGAAAATTATTTTTTTAATTCTATATTTTGATTTGTCTTTCTTTTATTATTTTCAAAGATTTTTTGGAATGAATTTAAATTATTTAAAAATATTTTTAACAAGTAAAAAATGGATGCATTGCATTCTAAGAATCCAGGCAATATAGGGCCACTTTCTGATTGCAGCGAGTCGCTCGGCCCTAGGGCTAAGGTCAGTGTTTAACCCAATGTTCCCCTTGACAGGCCCCACCACCCTGGTACCCAGTGTACAGAGGGAAGACTCCCAGACAGAGGAGAGAATCACTCAAATCCTCAATGAGGCTCAGCAGGCTATGCAATTCAAAAAGGCTATGGAACAGGTATTTTTTCTTTACAAAAAGTAAGATGCATGTACTACGAATTAAGCTTTTCATAGACTTTTCTGAAGACAGTTATATTATTAGAAAACAAAAAGAGAAATTCACCAATTAATGAAGCAGATTGTTCAAAACAGCTTAGATTAAGTTTTGTACGTGTTATTTTTGTAGCAACAAGTGGCACATGCCATGGTGAACAGTTACTATCAACAGGAAATGACTAGATTAGCACAGGTAACAGCACAGCATGGCCTGCCCTCCCCACACGGCTCTGCTTCCTCAATCATGACCAGCTCAGGGTCTATCGGTCTGCCACATCCCAAAGATCTGGAGCAACATCGCAGACGTGAAAGTGTGGAGAGCCAGGGATCAGCCAAAGAAATGGTAGAAAGGATCTACAGACAGGAATTAATGAAGCTAGCTCAGGCTGCCGAAAGTGCTGGAAATATTGCCGCTGTTACAATGTACCAGCAGGAGCTGGCTAGATTGGCTCAGAATGCCCAGAAGGGTGACACCGAGCCCGGAGAAATCAGACGATCCCGGGGGTCACCTGGAGAGCATCAAGAGGTCAGCATCAAGCTGGAGCCCTGCGATGTGTCTGCTGATGACACACATGGACCCATCGACTTGAGCAAGAACAGCACTAGCTCAGCTCCCACTACCCCTACATCTAACAGCTCCATCAAATCTCCTACTGAGTCTTCACATCGTCCTGGAAGTGC